ACACATATGTAGTTGTTTTTTTGGTGTTTGGCTTAGTGTTATGTTAGAATCGTTATTATACTCTTATACCTTTTGTTCTTTACTATTTTGAATCGTTTTTAGCTTTATGGAATTTTGTTGTATGCATTTGTCATTTTTATTTAATCTCTTTATTTTTAAAATGTGTGTAATAAATATTTATAAAGTTTTAGCTTTTAGTTTTGGATCTGTTTTTAGTTGTTTTAATACTACAATTGATTGCTTCTGTTGTCCTCATTTGTAAGTCGCTTTGGATAAAAGCGTCTGATAAATGACTAAATACATAAATAAATAAATAAATGCTGTTCTTTTCAGCTTTCTAATTACCAAAGAATCCTGAAGAAAATGTAACACTGTTTCCACAAAAATATTAAGCAGCACAACTGTTTTCAACAATGGGAATAATAAGGATTGTTTCTTGAGCAACAAATCAGCATATTAGAATGATTTCTGAAGAATCATGTGATACTGAAAACTGGAGTAATGATGATGAAAATTCACTACAGGCATAAATTTAATTTTTAAATATATTTCATTATTTTAAATAGTAATAATTTTTCACAATATTACTGTTTTTCAAATAAATGCATGTTTGTTGAGACTTCTTTTATAAACATTAAAACAATACTTACCAAAGTCAAACTTTTGACTTGTTATCCCGCTCTATGCGTGTGTGTATTAACCCGCTCTATGTTTGGTTGGTAAAATAAATGTTGTAAATTCAAATCAGAGCGTCTTCCGTGTCTGGAATGGATGTATTCTTGAGTCTATAAGGTAACAATAATATAATAAGATAACTAAAATACAATTTTCATTGACTAAAACTAGACTAAATGTCATCAGTTTTCGTCGACTAAAACTAGACTAAAATGCTCAGACTTTTAGTTGACTAAAACTTGACTAGACTAAAAAGAGTATGAACGTGACTAAAACTAATAAAAACTAAAATGACAGTTTCACACAAAGACTAGACTAAAACTAAAATTAAAACAGGCCGCCAAAAACAACACTAATTGGAAGTTACCTAGCTGGGGACTATTTTCAGCTAAAAGTGCTACCGCCAGACCCGGAGATTGGCTGAATGGATTAGAAAACGGTAAAACTCAACTGTTTAACTCTAGGGGAGTTGGAAAATGAGCCTATTTTCAAAAATAGTGGCGTGTTCCTTTAATCAGCGATACATCCTAAATGCCAAAGTCTTGTTGGATGATAGAGTGTTTTCTAGATAAGTGCAAGTCCAAAATAATAATAATCCTAAATCCGAAGTAACCCCATGTTTGCATTTCTACTGCTTCTCCCATATATAGATCAGCAAACGAGCTGGCAGTTCACTAGAAGACGTCTGAAGCCCAAGTAGATAAGCAGGTTCTTCTGAGCTTATCTGAGTGAAGTGAGTGAGTGAAGTGACATATGGCCAAGTATGGTGACCCATACTAGGAATTAGTGCTCTGCATTTAACCCATCCTGAGTGCACACACACAGCAGTGAACACACACACACCGTGAACACACACCCGGAGCAGCCGGGGAGCAGTTGGGGGTTCGGTGCCTTGCTCAAGGGCACCTCAGTCGTGGTATTGAAGGTGGAAGAGAGCACTGTACATTCACTCCCCCCACCTACAATCCCTGCTGGACCGGAGACTCGAACTCGCAACCTTTGGGTTACGAGTCCGACTCTCTAACCATTAGGCCACGACTTCCCCTATTTGCATGTGATAGACACCTCAGCAGCTGGCTCACGTTTGAACATGTTTAAAGTTAAAGACATATTACAACAGAACCGGAAACAATCACACCTAAGCAGACAAGGTACAGATAGCTAAAAACATTTCTAGAAAATATATATGATAGCTATAAGACAGATTTAGGTTAGTTGAATGTTTTGGTTTGATTTATGATGGTCTACCAGAGGGAAATCTCACTCACTCATAGGAGCTCCAAACAGAACCGTATCCAGAGACTTGAGCTGTAGTTTCTGAAAGTGACTCCGGTCCAGAATCTTCAGGACGGTCTGTGTAAGAGTGGCATTCTTCACCGCCAATCTAGAAACGAGAAAAATAAAGAAATACAAAAGAGGTCAGACTTACTGAGTCAAATAGAAAAACGAGTTTCAGAGCTAAAGAAAAACATTTGACCATAATAAATAGGTTTTAAATCCATGAATGATGCTCACAGCGGTCAAGTTTTGAGTGTCAAGTAATTCTTGTCTCATTAAAAGTGGAATAAATGCTCGTTTAGGATAAGTGTCAAGTGTTTCCCATCACACTCGGACCAAACTAATTGAACCAGCATGTCAGAAGTTAAGAGCACACAGTCTCAAATGTATTTAACACATCCCTGCTGTTTAATTTCTTCACTACTAGTACCACCAAATGGCACAGATGACCATTTTTTGGGAAAAGAAACAGATTTACAAAATTCCAGTTGTCTGTGCATATTAAGCTGGGATAGAGTAAATTTGATAAATGTACATATACTTACACACTACCATTCAAAATTTAAGGGTCAGTAAGTTTTTTGTTTTTTTAAGAAATTAATACTTTTATTAAGCAAGGATACATTAAACTGTACAAAAGTGACAGCAAAGACATCAATGAACACATATTTCTATTTCAAATGCTTTTCTGAGTCTTCTATTCATCAAAGAATTCTGAAAAAAAAAAAAAAATTCCACAGAAATATAAAGCAGCACAACTGTTTTCAAAATTGATAAGAAATATTTCTTGAGCAAATCAGCATATTAGAATGATTTCTGAAGGATCATGTGACTCTGAAGACTAATGACTTCTGAAAATTCAGATTTGCCATCACAGAAATAAACAAAATTTTTAAATATATTAAAACAAAAAAACATTAGTAATATTTCACATTATTACTGCTTTTATTGTATTTTCGTTGTGCATAAAATACTTTTGAACAGTAGTCTGTATGTACGTGTGTAGGCACATGTATACATATAATGCAATTTTATAATAATAAAATAAATAATTTATATTACATAATATTATAATAATTACACACAGCAGCTTTAAAGAACCACTCTTCTTGTTAATTATTGCTGTTAAAACTCACCGGGGCATGGATGTACCGTTAAAATTCAACTTCCGGAAGGCTTCCGCATATTGTGGCAGCTCGAGGTAGTCGATAAGCCAATCCACAACCTCATCCACTGTCCAGTTGTACACTGTAGAACAGAAACACAAAGCTAGAATTAGGCCAAATTCATAAACATCACAACGCATCAGAATTAATTGATCAAAACAAGCTGATAAATGCTGTGTAATACAACGTGTGACCAAAAGTGGGTGGTTTTGACTTAAAACGAGTATCCTAATGGAGTTTTAAATTTAGTAAGAATCGTGACGGTTTTTAAAAAACAAATCGTTACATCATCAGAGGTCTGCAGGGAATAGAGCGTGTGACTAAGAGTGTCATTATCTGATTTTGAAGAAGCTTCTTTTTCATGCTAAATTAATCTGTTTTAATTGATAAATGATCCTAATCATACGGTGTGATTTATTTCTGGCCTTTAAAATTATTGTTTGTATGAGTCCGACTGTACAATATGAGCCTTGTGCGATCTTGGGTAGAAGCCAAATCTTTCATGTCAGACTGAACTATCTTTATTTTAGAACAAGCTTTCTCAAACTGGGGTTTTGTGAGGTATTAAAAGCTAATAATTAATTCAATTAATACAATTAAAAAAATAAAACTAATAAAATTCAAATAAAAACTAATAATACATAAAAAATACAATTTAATATATAAAAATAAATGAATTTTAAAAATCTAAATAAATATTATTCGTTTTAATATGTGTAATTATTTGTTTACCTACATATCAGCTGACTTTTTTGGACATGGCTAGCATTGACTGGGTTATCTGCAGTGTCACATTCTGACGATGAAATAAAAGGAAATTTGCAAAAACAAAAAGAAATTTGCCAGCGGCTAAGATTCATCGCAATTAATCAGCCGTCAATGGCAATGACACACTAAGCGATCAAAACTGCCCATGATATTTGAATGAAAAGGGGAAAAGACACCAAAAATCAAGCATACACAGCAGAGGGACAGCTGGCATAGCCATCCAGTACCATCACATTTTAATGGAGTATAAATATTACACTGCCATAAATAACAGAGATAATCACTGTCATACCACATTTGAAAAAAAAAAAAAAAAGCAGACACCGTCAGCTCTCAATGAAAACACTGTAAGAGTATATATCTCTCTCGCCTGACCCTAGCACAAAACTGTGCTCAGTGTGTGTGTGTGTGTGTGTGTGTGCGCGCACTGCTCGGCTGGGACTGATCGGCTTTCATAGCCTTGGCTCTTCAGATGTGGTTTGAGGAAGAGCTGCAATGCAGGATAAAACAGACCAGAGAGAGAATTAAAAAGAGACAGAGAAAGTGAGGAGCAGAGGAAACACAGAGAACGTCTGAACCCTAGACAGACATTGTGGAGGGTTTATTGTCAGATCCAAGAATATGTGCAGTATACAACCAGAACACATGCATGATGCAATCATGCACTCCCATAATACAATGTGCTTGACTTGCCATGTCATTTTCATTTGAATGAAGTGCACATAGTAAGTGTGACTTTTCGGTCATTCATTATAAGGGATGTTTTAGCCTATACATTCAAAAGGTTTTTTTAAGCAATATACTGTATATTGAAACTCAGTGCAACCATTAAACAGGATAATAGATTTAACATATAAAAGTCAAAACAACTAAATAACAGATTTAATATATAAATAGGCTAAATAACTATAACCTGCACTACTGTACAAAAGTTTGGAGTTTAAATGTTTTATTCATTTTAAACGTACATTTTTTTTCAGGAGTCTTTGATGAATAGAAAGTTCAAAATAACAGCATTTATTTAAAATAAAAATCTTCTGTAACATTATAAATGTCTTTCCTGTCACTTTTGATCAGTTTAGTAAGTACTTGCTGAAGGAAAATATTAATAACCAAATAAATAAATAAACAAATAAATCTTACTGACTCCAAACTTTTAAATGGTAGTGTAAATAACCTTTTATTGCACTAAATTATCACTGCATAAATTATAAATGGATAATCAATGACGCAGTCACAATATGTTTATTGCTTCCAATTTAGACAATAAAAATAATATAGATACATTTCTAACTGACAAGTTGGTTGCTGAATAATGAGTATTTTATGTTACCCTGCATAGTTTTGTTCATGATTTGAGAATGAGGTCATGCAAACTGCTCATGTTGATATCAGCCTCTTACCTTAACGACAAAATAAATGACAGACAAGACGATCGCGGATGATTTAGTTTCGAAACTAGATGCAAAAGCACCTGTTAGTCAATATTTTGGATTTTGAAAAGCCTGTTGAGACGCCGATTAACCGGTGGGAAAATTTCCTCACCGACACAACCCTAATGGGTAGTGTTCTCTCCTTCATTTTGAAACTCGATAGGCCAATTTATTATGTTGTCCTAACTTTACACTAATATATGGTTACTTAATAATTCAGCACCGTTTCTTTTTCTTTCAGAAACAAACCTGTGACATTTCGGTCCACAATCACTGCATTGTGCAGCAGTATATCCACTGCAGCAAGCAGCACACTTTTATTCCCTTTAGCTTTAGTTTTACCAAGGCCTCATTCACACGTATGGGCAGAACGCACATGTTAAGTGTTCTAGAGCTTATCTGGATTTGGAGGAGGTGTTGAAAACCACTGAAAAATGGCTCCCTAAGTGTTCACACTCCTGCTGTTAAGAGGCCCAATTAAGTTAACACTTAACAACACATGCCCTAGTAGCCCTACATAAAAGTACCATGTCCTAGCATTATGATTGTACCATGTTACATTAGGATTTCAATTTTCATTATTATTATTATTATTACTACTACTACTAAAAATAAAATTAATATTTATGTTGTAATATTTCAATGTAAAATAAATGTATAATTATTAAGTACAATAATAATAAATATTGTATTGAAATTGTACAGTTGTACTGTGAAATAAAATAAATATTATGAATATTGATTCACCATCATATTAACATGGCCAAGTAACTTAAAAGAAAATCATGTTATTACAATACATGTCCAGAAATACCATGGTAAAATCATGTGGTATCACAGAATGAACCTGGGATATATTTTAATTAATTAACCTATTTTTTCCACAGCATTTTATCCAGCTGTACAGTTTAAGGCACATTGTGCAGTCAACTGAAAAAAATCTGACTTTGATGTATTCAAGTCAGCAAAAACCTTCTAAGAATGTGAGTCTGCATTAGCAAAGGTCAACCGATGAGCTGTTTTTCAATAAAAGGTACAACATATTCCACTGCATGTGAGAAAAGCATGACAAGCAGCTTTCTGCGTTAATGGGTCATTATGAAAGAGTTGCGCTCACCTTTCGAACTCTTCCAGGCATTCCACAGGTCCTCCACGCTTATGAGCTGGTCGTCACCATGGAAACTGTTGTGCTTGGCTTTGGGGTCATGGTAGTTGAGGTCCTCTCTTAAAAACTGTTGGATAACAGGGAACAAAATGAAATCTATTCCAATTAGCAACTCATGGATACCAGTGCATTCAGAAGAAAGTGAAAACATTGAATATGATCGCTGTATTCTCCACTAGCAGAGATTTTATTTTTTATGTTTCCTTTATATAGAGCTTGAGAGCAGAGATTTATTTATTTTTACATTTCCTTTACAAAGACCTTTAGATGGACGTGTAAAAAAAAATAAAAAATAAAAAATAAAAAAAGATGTGTAGAATAATTTGTTTGTGCACAACAGCACAAAATTAAGCAGACACTTAATGCAGCCCTTAAAAATTACCATAGTGATACAGTGATGATATCAGATGACAATAAAATAATATATGAAATAAAAAGGTAAAAAACATATATAAAACTAAATAATATAATAATAATAATAATAAATAATAAAAATAATAAAATAACAAAATAAAAATATAATACAAAAAACAAATAAACCAAAATACATAAAACAATATTATAAAAATAAAATAATAAAAAAAATCAATAAAATAAAAATAATTTAAAAAAAAAAGAAAAATATTAAAACACCAAAAATCAAATAAATATAAATACCATAAAACAAAATAATATTAAAAATATAACAATAAATAAATAAATATTTTTGCTAATGGATAACGAAAGCCTTTACAGTCTTAACAGACACTATGTAGTGACTTAGATCATAACCCGGCTATGACCAGCAATACTACATTTTGTTAGTCGTTTGGTTTCCAAGCCGATAGTCCTGCCCAACTCAAAAACTTACTGGTGCGAAAATGACAGTTTGTTTGACCATCATGAGCAAATGACCAGAACGTAATTCAATGACAATAAACTGTTTACTCTAGGGAACATTTAACAGCCAACCCACTGGATATAAACCATCTTACATGTAGACGGCATGATGTTTTAAGACATTCTGGGTCTATTAATACCATTGGGTTTTCTGAACATATAGAGAGCAAAGGCTCTGTTTGCTCAGACACAGCAGATGGCAAAACTGATTACACAACAAAACGCAACAGAAGGTTAGAGTGCAGTTCACAGAATATTTAAGACGGTAAGAGCTTCAAACTGTGGTTAAACTGCAACCACTGTGGGAGATTTGTCATAAATGTGTAAATATTTAGATACACCTGACAAACGACACCTGCTTTCTTGAAATCAAATTTGTTGTTTTAACAGCATTCATAATGGCTTATGACTGACATATCAAAACATGTAGAGATGCTTGGCTTTTTCCCACAGCGGCAATAATTAAAATTCACAATTTCACTGGAAACGCCATCACCAAGGCATAAAAAAAGAAAATGAGTCATGGTTTTCAGATAAAGGCCAAGACATTCATCGACTTGCCCACTCAAAGACAAGTGTCGAGCAAGATGAGCAAGACTGCTGTGTGGAAACTGACACTGAACGCAGCGCAACCGTTTCTATCAGTAAAATTTTGTGATTGTAAACTGCACTACATGCCATCAAATCATCATTTTGAGATTTTGGAAAACCGACTCTCACAAGAATATCACGATGCTTGCAAATCTGTGGTTGCCATTCCGTGGGATGTGCCTTGATGCTGCTTCGAGAAGGCTGGATGCAGCAGGACAGCACGCCTACACAACATACCGCGCGACTGAAAGGATGCCAGGGAGGGGCAGGCCCTGCGTATGCTTCCAAAACGACACCCAACGAACATGATGACCGGCTTTTCTTGGGCAAACGGCCACCGGTTCAAAAGCAGCATCAGAGATTTTGGATACCATTCATAAAAGAGAGATGGTACAAAAGGCATATGTGTGAGTTTATTGCTTAGGAACATATTGCTGAAAGAATGAACAGCCCTAGTCTGTCGGGAATTGTCTTTCATTGCGGTTTTGAGTGGGCTAATGTTGCTTAATGTTAGCTAGTGGGCTATTTCACATTTGGTAGCAGCTAGGCTAACTTAATGTGGGTGAAAGAGAAAAACAGATTGCAGTACAACGAAACAATGCAGGTTCACTGAAAAACAATTAAAACTTATAAAACTAATCCTAACTTAACCTGTATGAAATAGTCAGATTTTTTTTTTAACAAACAAACCTCAATTTCATTCAGAGGCCCAAACTGAGCAAATATATGTAATTTGGTGCAGATGTTATTTATATGATTTCAAATATCAACATTGGCTACCAGAAATCACTTACTCTGCCTTTAAGATTAAATTCTGATGTTTGTAATGTAAATCAATTAGATTTTTAAAACAGTATGTCTTAGTAAGACAAAATTTAAATAGTTGTATTTAAATTAGTTTTATTATCAAAGCTCTGTAGTTTTTATTGTAGTGGGCAAAACATAATGCAATGCAAAAATGATGCTTGACAGATGAACAAATAAACATTCATCAAAAGCCTGATGTATCATATTTGATATTTAAATTTGAATGATTTTTCAGTTGAATGAAATTTGAATGAAAAAAAAAACCAAGTAAGCCTAAGTTGCTTCAGTCCAGTAAATATTTATCTTGAAATATTACTAATTTAAAAGTTATTTGGTCACACTTTATTTTAAGGTCCAATTATCGCTATTAACAAACCATTAACTACAACTTTTGCCTCAATAAACTCCTAATTTGCTGCTTATTAATAGTTAGTAAGGTTGTTACTAGTTAATAGTGAGAATTGGTCCCTATACTAAAGTGTTACCAGTTATTCTTATGCTTACTTTATAAAAAGGCATTTCACATATTAAAAAAGTATGAACTATCAATCAGAGGGCAAAAGGCATGTGGAGGATTGTGTACAACGGGCTTTTCAGCAATGTTTTGATCGTGTTGACCATTTAGAATCCTAAAAATCATGTATCAAATAGTATTTATAGAGTTAACAAAATGCTAAAGGAGGGAATCTCTAAAACAACATAAGATGCAATGCAACACCTAAAGATGTCCGCTTGAAAGTGCACGGCTTTAACAATCTAGGGCTGCACGATTCATCGAAATTAAATCGCAAAGGCGATAAATCGCGATTAGGCAGAAGCTGCGATTATCATGCGTATCTTTCAGTGAAGCACGTTTCTGTGATCAGCAGTAAATCTCCATCCGAAGGCCAGTGGGCGCTCTCGCGCTGAAACTCCAAATACGCCTCGCAGAAGAAATCAGGAAATTCCTATAGCAGTTGCTGAATAAACAGAAGATATCCTTTTAGTCCTAAAGATAATCGGAATTGTAAAAGGTTTGCCTTTATTTGTGTACATTCACAATAAAAACAAATCTTTGTGCTTTTGTAAAATAAGCCTAAAGAAAAATAGAATGCCACTTTCTGCCGTCTGTTTCCTTTCGCGCTGCACAAAAATGAACCGAAACTCTGCATACTAGTCAACTTGTTTTTCTTTCATTTTCTTAATTTATAATTTAAGTAAAAATATATATAGCCTAGCTTTATTATGTTTTTCTCCGCTCGCAGAAGCGCTGCAGGTGCGTGATGGGATGTGATGACCATGTGAATCCTCATGTTCTGTTGTTTGCTGCTTTTTGCGCATGTAAAATTAATCCCTGGGAAACAAATGTTAGTATTTTTAACGGGTCACAGATACTTATCCTTTCTAATTTAATTCAATTCTAATTTAAAATAATATTGTCGGTTAACAATCGGTTAACGAGCGTCGGTTGTCGGTTAGGAAAAATAACCGAATTGAACATCCCTAGTGTGATTATAACTATGATAATAAATTAAAATAATATGATAACAAATACTGACTTGTAAAACCTAAAATAACAGCTGACACTGGAAGCCTTCCACATTCTAGTTAAAAATAGCTGTGCACATACATTAAAAATAAACAGGATATGCCGCAAAAAAACTTTACTACTTCTAAAAAATACTGCATTAAAACATCTGGATAAACGAATTGACAAGTTGGTTTTTGAGTAATTAGTGTATCAATTATCTTGACTTATTCTTACTCCTGACTAGTAGTCAAACCAATGCCTCATGTTAGTTTCTGGAGCTCACAGACATCTGAGATGTGACTAGTGTTAACTGCTGAGAAAACAAGCAAAAATATGTAATTTCACAAGACTAGTCTGCATGGCATATCCTTGAGCGGTAGAACGCTGACAGATGCATTGTTTCATAACCAGTTGGGCAAAAATCTTTAAGATGAAGGTCAAAAACACATGATAAATGACATGCACAAGTGTAGATTTTGACTAGTAACTCATCTGTCTTTTATCCCTTGTTGTAATCAGTGGATTTATTTAGTGACAGGTCAGGCTGATCCTAGATTAGCACTGTTTCTGAGAGACGCCTACACATGGGTCTGAATTAGCGGTTATGGCCTCTGCAGACCACCTGACTCAGAATAGCACAGTGAGGAGGCTTCTGGTTTCCTGCAGAAATGTTTCCTGCATCTTGCAGCCCAAAGAGCAAAATAACACAAACCATAACACACATTGCTGCACTATGTCACACAGGCTGATACAATTCATCATGTACTAATGTTTTAACAAGCCCAGATCACTGGAAAGAGCATTAGACAGGACAAGTCCCATTCATCCCATTCATTAAATACGCAAAATTCTCAGTAAAGAATTACATAATCCATTATCCAATAATTACAGAAAAAAAGTAATAAATAAAAATAAAAAAGATAAAATAACAATCCTGATTAACCTGTAAAAATATAATTGTTATTAATATATAATAGGCATATAATATTCGTTTTACACACGTTTATTTTTACTCAATTATGACTATATAACTGATTTTATATAATATATAAATATAAATATACATATCTAGTAAAATATATAGTGCAATTTATTTATATAAATATATAGTAGTATAAAGAATATAATTCATTTAAAATATTATAGAGTAAAATGCAATACGTAGTTAATTCATTAATAAAAAAAAATGTAATACAGTCTTGTACCTTTTTTCATGTTTATATACTTTTTTATATTTTATAGAGATATACATCTTTTTATGCTTTAAACCAAAGTTTGTAATTTTTTTAAATAATCTCTGAGCTAGCTGTATTGGTTCATGAATTTTTGCAGAAAATAAATTTGAAAAATACTTCCAAAACCATGGCAGTCACTGTTGTATACCATAGGGTAAATGAACAGATAGCTTGTAAAATGAAAAACATAAAATAAACCTAATATCACAAGCAGCAACAAGCACCAGGATACCTATTAGCCTGCTGCAGCTTACTCATTCACCATCATGCTGAGTTGAAATTTAATGCTATGAGAAAAATTTATCAGTTGCTTAATCAACCACACTGAGAGTGAGGTTAGAAGAGAACAAAGGTCAATCAACTGCCTAATTAACCAAAAGTTGGCCACTCAGAAGCAGTTTTAGAAGTAATTCACTGACCCCATCGGTTTCCACAACATCCACATTCCCATTGGCATCGTCGTCCATTTGCTTGTGAATGCTGCGGATGGCCTCAAAACTGAGGATGGCGTTCTCATCCTGGCAGAGCAGCTCGTCAATGCGGCAAAGCTCTGAAGAAAAGAGACACAGTTAGTGAGATACTAAAACAAGTCAAATTCTTAAATTACCTCTAATTTATTATATTTATAATTCATGTTCCGGATCCTTGTAATCTTTAAATGAAATGCCAAAGCCAATATCTTAGAGACTAGGCTGATGGCTGGCAAAACTGAAATATGATTTCACACTATATAATTTAAAGACAGCAAATAACATGCTCAACAATTGCTGCAATGAAATTTATATTTTACATACTATATGGAAAATTAAAAATTAAAATGAATCCAAATGCTATATTACTTTTTCATATATCATTTATTTTCTTTAACAGTTAATGAACTTTTCCACGACATTCTAATTTATTGAGATGCACCTGTATATTCTATACCGCTTCTAAAACCTAGCGGCCAAACAGAAAAACTTAATGCAGATCATTTTAAAAATACCAAATATGGGTTGCTATATACTAGTCTTGGCGATTTATTGGTGAAACACTAATTGTTCTGGCAACCTATTATTAGGACTAGGTCCATCCCTTGTATCAAACATCCACTTTTTAATTTTTTTTACAATTCCTGATAGATAAAATAAAACCGGCAGTCTTTCGGTTTTCCAGCCAAGATCTTTAACCATTACACCATCCTACAATATTGAAGCTTTATTGGTTTTTAATTGAGAACTAGCTCATTCAACAGGACCACAACAAACAATAAAAGTGATAAATAAAGGTGAGATAAAAAACCCAATATGTGACCCTGGACCACAAAACCCAATATGTGACCCTGGACCACAAAACCAGTCTTAAGTCGCTGGGGTATATTTGTAGCAATAGCCAAAAATACATTTTATGGGTCAAAATTATTGATTTTTCTTTTATGCCAAAAATCATTAGGATATTAAGTAAAGATCATGTTCCATGAAGATATTTTGTAAATTTCCTACTGTAAATATATTAAAACTTATTTTTTTATTAGTAATATGCATTGCTAAGAACTTCATTTGGACAACTTTAAAGGCGATTTTCTCAGTATTTTGATTTTTTTGCACCCTCAGATTCCAGATTTTCAAATAGTTGTATCTCGGCCAAATGTTGTCCTATCCTAACTAAGCTTATGTATTCAGCTTCCAGATGATGTATAAATCTCAATTTCGAAAAATTGACCCTTATGACTGGTTTTGTGGTCCAAGGTCACATATGGCCTGTTGCCTTAGCAATAGTCAACTTAATTGTCGGGGGCAACAAAGCACTCTTCAATGAGAACATTGCGTGCTAATGAAGACTTAAAATGATAGCACCGGATCAAATTTCAGAATTCAGAGGTGCTTCTAAACGAGCCTTCTCCAAATCCCACTGTGTCCGTGGAGGTTTCCAGCTCAAACTATGAGGGGGGCTAAAAATAGACCCGACTGTGGTATTAACTAAAACTAGCAAACAACTATTTTTAGGCCGCAAATCTGCACAGCTGTTGTGTTACCACATTCAAGGTTCTGAGGGCCAGGAAAGCTCTGGTTTGTGCGGAGCGAACCTGCAGTAGTTTGTGTGAACGTTCACGAATGGTAACTTTATCAGCTCAGAGTGTGTGGTACTCGAGAGACTGATGTAGGCTGTGATGCATCCGGTCGTGTTTGTGTATATCAGAGTGTTATAACACAAAGGAACCGGTCCAAGAGATCCATGAGCTGCAGAAATAAACCTTGGCGTCTGTCTTTTCATAACACAATACATTTAGAAACTTAAGAGGAGACGTATCTTAAAGCTCTCCAAGAACAGAGACAGAAGTCTATCTAAGCCTATCAAAGTCACCCTGAAGGCTTGGTAGATGATTGGGAACCAGGTTGGGGGCTGGTAAATGGACATGAAAAGAAGCATATCCAGTTTCTGAAATGTATCACTTACCAAGTAGAATGAACTACAACCTTTATATTAGATGTATCGTCTTGAATACCAGGCTGTACTCAAAACAAATTGATCAAACCTGAAGAAATTGAGCAATATCTATTTGTTGCTCAACTACTTGTCTCGGGCGATGTAATCACAAGTGATCAGCAAAGATAGATTGCTGCTTTACACCCGTTAGTAACATGCTAGTCTCCTGCCTAGTAACATCTCCTGTGATGTCCTGTGATCGGATTTCAAGAGGAGGGTCTCTTCTGGGACATTGTTAAATGTGTCACTGTTACTGCATGTTGATATAGCAAATAAGCCCACTTCCAACAACAACAACAAAAAAAGTGTTACATTGTTTTTCCCTAAATAATACTTTTAGAATTTGCACAAACTACCATTCAAAAGAATGTTTTTGAAAGTAGTCGCTCACCAATGCTGTATTTATTTGAGCAAAAATACAGTAGAATACAGCAGAACTTGGTACAATTTAAACTACCTCTCTCTATTGTAATATATTTTAAAATGTGATTAATTCCTGTGATGCAAAGCTGAATTTTCAGCATCATTACTTCAGTGTCACATGATCCTTCAGAAATCATTTTAATATGCTGATTTGCTGCTCAAGAAACATTTCTTATTACTATCAATGTTGAACAGTTGTGCTGCTTAATGTTGCATGGCACTTTTTTCCGTGATTAAAAAGTTCAAAAGAACAGCATTTATTTAAAACAGAAATCTTTTATAACATTATAAACGTCTTTAAATAACTTTTGAGTATTTAATGCATCCTTGCAGAATAAAAGTATTAATTTCTTTAAAAAAAAAACTTGTGAATGGTAGTGCATATACACAAAATATGTGAATAAATAAATATATAAAAAATAATAATAATTCATATTATATTTATATATAATTTTAATCCAAGCACAAATGAGATGTTTCAACCAGATTGCATCAAAACAACATATATATATATATTCTGTCAATATGGGGTGCTGTGTGTACATTAATGAGGAAAAAAAATTAACTTAAATGATTTTAGCAAATGGCTGCAATATAACAAAGAGTGAAAAATTTAAGGGGGTCTGAATACTTTCCGTACCCACTGTATATAAAATAAAAAAATTACACTGCATTATTGTAACTTTTAGGTCCAAAACTTACATTACCCTAGTACAGATATGCAATGCTACAAAAGCTTGATTGCATTTCGTCATGATATATCAGAAAGAAATTCATTGAACAACAAACATTTCGCAAAATTGCCACATCAAGACATGTTGCATAACCCGTCAGTTCTCTTTTTCAAGTCATGGTGTGCAACAGTTTGGAGAAAACTCAGCTAGACACGCTTATAGTTAACTACTAAAATAACAGCAAGAAAACTCTATCGACCCCCCGAGAATAGTGACAAGAAAAATTAAGAATAGGACGGCACACTTGCAAAGCATTTGCATACTTGCGTAGAGTATCTTTCTGGCTTTTGGTTACCAGCTGTTGTCCCATATAAAGTGTTTTATATAACCTAAACAAGCCTAAGATCAAAAGCACTGGTCAAAGCCATGAACACTGCCTTTGTAAGAAACATGACTCTCTGTATCTAATCAGAGTTCAGTGAATACAGTTATGTAATGCAAAAGTCCCCTTACAACAATTATAATAGTCTAGCTAGCTAGTCAAGACAAAGTAAATCATCAAATAAACTTGATATAACATATTTCATCTCTAAAAAAAAAGAAAAAAAAGAGGACAACAAGCCACTAGTTATTTTCTGTCAATCTGCCGTTATATAACAGACAGGACTCAGGAGATGAGGGGCCGGCTGCCGTTTTGGGGAGGCTGAAAACTAGCGCACCAACTGTGGGATATTGTCTTCTCCAACAGGACTGGAAACAAATCCAGGCCGACCAGTGGCATGAGTTTTGTACTGTCTGAAGCCTGACCGTCAGCCTCAGGAGATGCTGAGCTCCATCGGTGTGGTTCTCAGACCTGACACGCACAGCAAGTTCCAAAGATCAAGGCCTGCGAGGCGTGGTGGGTACCGATCCTCTCTGCTGAAGCTTGAAAGAGTTTTTGGTCACAGAGAGGCTGATGTGGTCAAGAAATATTTTATAAAATGGGATAAGAGCTGAAGTTTTAGGACATACACTACTGTTCAAAAGTTTGAGGTCGGTAAGACTTTTTGAAAAAAGTCTCTTATGCTCATCAAGACTGCCTTTTTTGATAAAGAATATGGTAAAAACAGTAATGTTGTGAAACATTACTACAATTCAAAATAACTGTTTTCTATTTGAATATATTTTAAAATGTAATTTATTCCTGTGATGGCAAAACCGAATTTTCAGCAGCCATTACTCTAGTCTTCATCCTTCAGAAATCATTCCAATATGCTGATTTGGTCCTTAGTGTTATTTTAGTATCATAGAGTTACAATTATAGTTTTTAATCAGTATTTTGAAATAGTTTTTATTTTATATGTTCTGTTTTCATTTTAATTTTAGTTAAAGTTTTAAAAATATTGATGTGTTTTTGACCATTTTTTTATGGTTTTCATTGATTTTTATTTTAGTTCTAGCTATTTTTTACATCACGATAAACTAAATGAAAATGAGAAATGTTGTAAAGTTTTTTATATCAAGTAACAACATTTTTTATGGTTTTAGTTATATTTAATAACCCTGATGTTCAAGAACTATTCTTACTATTGTTGAAAGCAGTTGTGCTGCTTTTTTGGACACCGTGATACATTTTCTCAGGATTTTGTTTTTCAGGACTTTTGATGACTTGCAATAATTTTAAATTTAAATTGTTTTTAACATTGTAAATGTCTTTACTGTCACTTCTGATCAATTTAATGTGTTCTTATTGAATAAAGGTACACTATAGAGGTGTTGGAAGATTAACATTAATTCATAAACCGCTTTCTTGACATTTTGTCACGAGTTTGTAGCAATATCATGGTTAGAAGGGGGAAGAGGAAAAAAAAAACTGAAACCCCTAACTTCCTTGAACGTTTGTGACCGAATTCGATAAAGGCCAAAGTTGCCGCATTTCCCATGTGCCTGTTAATCTAAGTGCTGGGAAAGCCAGGAAAACTCCATTATCTAAGATTAATTTCTGTGTCTTAATACTCATCTCTTTATACTGTCTATATAAGTGACTTGGCCTGTTATTTTAATGCCATCAAACACACTTGTGCCTGATGCAAAGAATAAAATATCTTAAATATAGAAATATAAGCATTGTAAAACACCCATACATGATTCTAAAGTCGCAGCTACTGAAATTTAAAGCAACGAGCCCAACCTGCTCAGAAATTATATAACACACCGGTAGCATACTGCATGATAATACAGCATGCTAATTTGTTTTGCAAACTTCTTACCCTTATAAAATATTTACATTAATCAGTTTCAGCTGAAAAATAACAAACACCTATGGTATGTTATTTCCCACAGTCAGAGACAGAACAAGGTTATGTTTACATTCAGAATAGCATGCTAACATGCTACTTTATCTTTGCAGTATGTACGTGTGTGTAGAGTATGCAAATTCTCTGCATGCACAAGATACCCAGGTTATCTGCTACATTTACTAAAACGTGTAGTATAAACTTGACCTTTCACTTCCAATGTGATGAATGAATATTATGACAGCACTTTTTTTTAACTAAATTTCAATATCGTGATAATACCGTATACCGTAATAAAAGCATTAGCAATTAATCGCAACATGAAAATTTGATACCGGCATATCCCTAAGTGGAAGTAATACCAGCTTCAATTTTAAATGTCTTTATCACTATAGTATGCTAAAAGTACACCACTCGTACACATATGCATTTAAGATGCAAAATAACCATGTGTTACTACTACAAATACCAAGCATAGCATACTATTGATTGGAATAGTAGACCTGGATCGATTTGCAAAGTTACAGGTGACTCTACAGGTCAGTTCAGTGCAAAATTTAGTGTTAAATATGGTGGACACATACAGTACAGCTCATTCAACCAGTAGCCGGATGGTGTATTGTCACTTAATGACTGGGCTCTATTCCAGTTCAACAAAAGCTTTGAAATACACTCTGGACTTTAGGCAGTTTTCCCAAAGGGCTCTTAAGTCATTACACTGCAATCAAGATCAGACGGTTTGATTCACTAACATAACACGGAAAAGCAAGACCACCAGAAAGCCATAGCTATTCATTGTAAAAGACAACTTTTTTACAGCTTTAAGTTGAATTGCACAAGAGCCACTGAGGCAGAACGTGATTGATGACAGACAAATATAACTTAAACATCACCCAGGTTCACATATAATAATGCTAGCTATATGTATATAGCAATTGCATTAAGAAAATTGTCCACTTAACATTTGCGTTGTGCTCCATAAATAAGTTACAGAAGGAAGCAAATAAGATTAAAAACTAAAACACAAAAATCATCAATATAATTTTTTACCCAGTCATTTAAAAATAACACATTTTAGAGCTGTAATGGCAATACCGTGATACCGTGAAGCCGTGATATTTTTGCTTAAGGTTATCATACCGTCAAAATCTCATACCGGCCCATGCCTATTTGGATCATGATTAAAATCCAGTGGTTGCCTCCGATTTTTAAATGGAAAGAGCACAGACAAAGCCTTAGTTTGTTCATATTAAGATATTCCTTTTATTTGTGTAACTTGTTTCATTTGGGGTTTGTTTTAAAATTTCAATTTAGTTTTGTTATATTTATATTTTATATTTCAATTGTGATATATTTCATGATCAAAATCATGAATTGAATCGTGAGTTCAGTGAATCGTTACATCTAGAGATGCACCGATTCGATCGGCCAGGGATCGGAATCGTCGATTTTCCTCATGATCGGCCCGGATCTGTGATCGGCCGGTTGATTTAGAATACTATTTATTATTTTTTGTTCTCTATAATTTTTTCGTTGTTCTTTGAGTGTAACTAAAAACAAATATTTTCAAATTATTGCATAATTTTCAAGGCCTGGAAATCACTTTTTTTTCCCATGACTTTTAAAATAAACGTCATGCCAAAATCAGAACTGATTCAAATTACAACAGAAAATCAGAATTAAAACAGAAAAGTCCCCCCTTCCCCCCTTTTGACTGAAACTGGTTTGTTTCGTAGAGCAAGCATCCGGGCAAGAAGCAACAGATCCCAATCATCACTTATAAGTCAACTCGTATGAACTCTAAGGACAAGCCACCCTTTATATGGGCCTAAAACACATTACAGAAGCAATTGTATGCGCTATGATGCTCTTGGCACCTTCATTTGACATGCTGCCACAAGTAAGGACAGTGCTTAACAGAGATTGCATTCCCTTACTATTCTCAGCCGGGCCACATTTATACCCCCATACAATTTCTAAATAAGACTACAGCACTGGCACAGGGGGCTGCAAAGCACAGAGCACTCTGAAGTACATTTTGTTTGTTGATAAGGCCGTCAGCTCTCATCGATGATGACACAGCTACTTTTTCTCCAATGTAAAATAATAATTCAAACAGTTCAAACTCACCTGAGACACCGTTGTCCGATGGTAAGGGGTCTGGGCTTACATGATTGGATTTGTCCGCTCGACATTCCAACAAGAAGCATATACATACAATCCAGAAAGTCACCAATCTGCTTAGCTCCATAGTGGGACAGCTGGTTTGGAATACGAGAGAGAAAGATCATGTGAACAAACCAACCCTGCATGTCAAGTCATGTATTAAAGTAATCCTGAGATGATATACGGAAGAACACAGACAACTGAAAAACACTCTGAATAAGCCTACTTCCTCACTATATAGTAGGTGGAAAACAGCATGTGAAAAGAGCAACATGTCCAAATTTCATTCATACCACCCATATTCATACTATACAGAACATACTTCTTTAACGATCGCAAAGTAAGTTTCATTCAAACCTAATAGTGCATACTTTTGGACGCAGCTTTAATGTCTTTAATTATGACACTCATTCTGCACATGCTTAGTATAGTTCTCTTTTTGCCTGAAAGTAAAGGTAATAGATAAAAGTCCCTATTTTGAAGTTTTTTGTTTTTTTTTGATGCTCAGTATTTTTGTTCTATACTGTATAAAGTTATGGTGCCTCTGAACTTAAAGTTTTCTATTTTAACTCTATAATACATATTAAAAGTATTTTATAGTACTAATATATTGTAAAATATTAATAATGTAGGCACCACTTACACTTTTACTATAAATGCATCATTTCTAACAGGTAAAAATAAAAGAATTAGAACAATATAAAGGTAAAACCCATACAGTAAGCAGAGTGTAAAAAGTATTAAATCAATGTTGGTTATTTGACGGAATTAAGATACAGTGGGTTAAACATTTTAACTCATGCCTTGCTGAAATCCACTTCCTGTAATTGACCTGAATATTATTACTAGAGCCCGACCGATATATCATTTAGCCGATATTATTGGCCGATATGAGCCTGTCGCCGATATATTGGTATCGGCGAATATTCCGCCGATATGAACATTTTTTTTAAAGAGCATATAACGCAGATAAAATGCTTGAAATCGTGTAATTACTTAGTTTGTCCATTGTGTGCTACTGGCGACCTGGATGAAACGCTTTAAAGCTTAAGTCTATGGAAAACCATTGAAAATTTGAACGGTCATATCTCCGTAACGCCGTGGCGGATCCGCACCAAATTCGGGGGATCCCTTCAGCTCGAGGAACCCTCTCGAACGCGAATCGAGTGTACGTCTCGAGGCCCTCTTTTGAATGAGACCACCCCCGCGTGGATAGCCCCCGGGGTTCGGGAGTTAC